AACGCGACATACTCTGTCATCCTAATGTGAAAGTTTTCATGTCACATAGCGGCTTAATGGGCAGCTCGGAGGCGGCTTATTGTGGTGTGCCCGTTGTTGCTACACCCATGTATGGCGATCAGTTTTTGAATGCGGCGGCTTTGAAGCATCGCGGCATGGGCGTAGTGCTGCACTATGAGGATATCACGGAGAATTCAGTGCTCCGATCAGTTAGGGAGGTGCTGAAGAAGCAGTAAGTTAAGTGGCCCAAATGGGGAGCACGGAAATAAGTTTTCAAATTTTTTATTTTTTCAGATACATGGACAATGCCAAAGCGGTCTCATTCTCCTACAAACATCGACCACAAACTGCGTTGGAATCCGCCATCTGGTGGGTGGAATATGTCGCCAAAACCGAGGGCGCTCCCCTCACTAAAGCCGATGCGGTGTTTTTATCACGCTTTGTCTACTACTCAATGGATGTTTATCTATTCGTGGGCATCATTTTATTCATTACGATACTAAGTTGGAGTTTCATTTGTGGCAAAATTTGCGCGCGTCGTCCTAAAGTAGAGAAACAAAAGACTAACTAAACACAATACCACTTTTTGTGATATTTTTGTAGTTGTAAATAGATTTCCAGAATGGCGATTAGCACAAAAATTTTAAGAACAATTATTTTTGGCGTGGCATGAGTTTAGTTTATCAAATGAAGCTCAAAAGTTACATATAATAAATATTAGTGTACGTAATTAGCGAGATTCATATGTACATAGAAAAATGAAACTATTTTAGGATGAAATTACACAACTCAGTTCAAGGATAATAAAGTACAAAATTATGATTATTTACTACACTTTATAATTTGTAGTAGTAAAATAAATTGGTAGTAGTAAAATAAATGGAAAGTGATTTCAAAGATGTTAACTCAATTGCTTCCAGTATACATAGTTTTCCTGCTTCTGCTGTTCCCTGCTTGTTTTTCTTCCTACAAATAAAAAATTATATAAAATAAATAAAAGGAAAACATTTTATTAAAATAAAAGAAACAAAAATGCGATCCCCGAAGATTCGAACGTGGATATCCCGAATGGCACGCCAGCGCTTTGCTTACTCGGCCATTGCGACTATGGGAGCAGCGTGAGCAAAATGATCCGTTAGGAACATGCTCAAGTGATTTCTGTCAAAAGAGCTTTTCAGCATGCAAATTGGCAAGGGAGCTTTTTTCAAGTAAGACTTTCGTGTAAAACTATATCCGCACTTTTTCTGGGTTTGAGCATCATTTCTATGTGTGTCTCCTTCCATTGTGGTGGTATAAATCCCGTAATGAGGACAGCATTAAGCAAGGAAGTCAAAAGAGTGAGCTGGGAGCTTTTTTTTTAGGCTTGACTTAGCAACTGCTGTTTTTACTTCTGCTTTAGTAAATTTTTTTTATGGGTGGGTCCATTTGATGAGTACAACACAGGGTACTTATTATCATGGGCGGGGATTCAAAGTTATGCGGTGTGAATTCCGTTTTTAGATATCGCACAAATGTATTAGCATTTTCTAAATCACCCTTTGCTCATTCGTTGTTTTCCTTTCTTATTGCAGATTGTATCAGGGTGGGTCTCTTGAATTTGCTCGCTGCTTTTCAGAGAGAATATTCGAAAGTTGCAAATGCAACAAAACTGCTCAGGTATCGTCGAGTTTGAAAGTTCCGTTCGTTATTTGAGGTCACTTTTAGTTCTTTTGTAAGCTGTTTTAAAGCTGATGCCAGATAAAACGCTTGCTTCGCTTTGCGTGACATGTATTTAAGTACATATTCTAAATCTTTTTCTAAGTAATCTGCAAAGCACATTTCATGTAAGTACTGTATTCAGGCATCGCCTTCAGTTCATTCTTTGAATTGTTGACCATATAGCCTCAATTGCCTTAAAACACTTTCGGTGAGGTGGAGGAAACAGAAAGTACTCATGCTGATTGAAGTATGCTGTATTAACGTTCCATTTGATCAAATAGTCATATATTTATGAAAATTCATATATATGTACATGCTAAGTCATTGTGTTTTGATACTAGAAAACAATTTTTGTTGACGTTATCACAAGCTCGCTTTATTTAAATCATACATAAGTGCATTCCGGAGACTTTTTGAACAGAAGTTATACGAGGGTCACTAAAAAGTTCTAAGACTAACTAAAAAAAAAAAAACATGGAGAATGGAGAAAAAACGATATATTTGGGAACAAATTCCTTCATTCCTGGTCAAGTTTGGTTTGGAGGCAAACTAGTTTCGGCATTGTGCCCCATCATCAGTGGCACATTGAAGGTGGCATAACGAGGAAACCGGTTATGTCTAAAAAAAAACCAAACTTGAGAAGAGATGACGGAAATTATTTCCTAAAGAAATCAACTTTCTCCGCTGTCTGAAAATTCAATAAGGTGGCAAATCGGAACCGTCTGCGTATGGCCCACCAATTCGATGCTTAAAAAAACAATTGCTTGGCGAGGTGTGTGAAAGCTCGCTTTCCCTTGATGAAAGGCCATTTGCGATTTGCTCCATTCTTGAAAAATGGTTGCCAAACAGAATTAACTGTTATACATTGCTCTAAAATCCGTGGAGACCGCGCCTCACGAAATCGTATCGACGATCGAAAAGGGGTTGGCCGTAAGGGAACACACGCTGGGAGTCTTCAATTGTGGCTGTGTGTAATTTCCTTCTTATGGTGGGAGGCGAGGTCTTGAGTGAGTTACTACAAAATTCACTCAGTTTTGTAGACATCTGGTTTAAAGATTGTGGACTCAGCGTCAGCCTTGATGGCCAATGCCGCCCTGTAAGGTCGAGGCCACGCAATGAGGGGCATTTTTGTATGGGACCATCTCTGAGACACTACCTTTCCGATGCAAAAAGAATTATCAAAATCGGTTGACGTGGTCCAAGGTTATGCGGTAACATACATAAAAAAAATATCAAAATATTTCGACGAACTGATAACCTCCTCCTTTTTTTGGAAGTCGGTTAAAAATCAACAAAAAGCGATTATTTTTGAGCGAAAAAACAAAAATCATAAAATTATAATAGTTACCCTCGTACGGTTAGCTTGGAGCCTACATATCATTACAAGCCTTTCCAAAATCGTCTCCACTGCGATCACCAACTCGTTATTTTTTTGAGAATTCTCACCCCTCATATGCTCCTTAAACCGGAGAAAGAGATCGCTATCACTTATACACTTCTAGCTGCAAGTTAGCGATCTAACAAATTCCTTGACTTAGTCTTAATTTATCAGTCGCAGAAGAAAGCTGTGACAACTCGTACAACTTGTGTAAAAGTGTGTTTATTCAATTTATTTTATTTAATCATTTACTATATCAATTTAAAGCTGTTCATTCAACGCCTTTTAATTTTGCGTTAGTAAGTGAACTTGAAATGATCAGACAAAAAAAAAAGGAACGACATCCAATCAAACCAGTCAAATTAAAAAATAAAATAAATGGCTTTAGGTGTGAATTGAAAAACCAGGCCACTGACATTAATAAGTGCACAATTAAATACACTGGCAATCAAAAGTGAGTGCATGGTGTTTTTTTATTTAATATTTGCAATGATTTTCAAGCTAAATTTTTTTTATTTTTTGTTTCACTAGAATCGGTAAATTTTTCTAAGTTTTGTATAAAGTTTAAAAGTTTGCCTTATGTGGTTTGGATTAAAGCATGAACCATATTTTTATAAAAAATAACAACAAAATTTTAATTTGATAAACATTGCAAATATTAAACAAAAAACACCATGCACTCACTTTTGATTGCCATTGTATGTATATACAAAAATAAAGAACCGCTAATGTCTGTGTCGCCATTTTTGAATGGTGCAGTAAATATTTTATTTGAATTCTTTTCACTATCCCTTGTAGAGTAATGGTGATGTTAACATCTGGCCACCTCTTACAGCTGCTTGGGCTCTGTTGCACTTTGGTGCAAGCCAGTAACTCGCTTAAGATACTCGGTCTATTTCCTCACCCTGGCTATAGTCATTTTCGTTTCTTCCATCCCATAATGCGTGGCCTGGCTGAAAAAGGACATGATGTCACGGTGATAAGTCATTTTCCGGATGAAAACCCGCCGCAACAGTACAGGGATTTGCCGCTGACAGGTCAAAAAATTTTGACGAATTCTATAGAATTGAAGGTGAGTGAAATTTATGAAAAAATGATGCGACTTGAATAATTACTTACACTGAGAGAAAAATCAACCAAAAATGGGTTAATACTACCAAATTCAAACTTGAAAAGGAATCAACGTGACTTTTGGTTAATATTAACAATGCCTTGGTTGATGTTTTCAACAATGATTTGGTAATAATTACCCCAATTTTGTTTAACTAAGCTTTTGGTTGGCAATTTTTCGTTTGAATAAGTTTATGTTCTGCACTTTACAGATGCTTTTTCATAATTCGGAGATACAAAACAAAAATGTATATTGATTTTAAAATGTTGCTACAGCCGCTTTATAAATTTGTCTTCAAATGTTCAGCTTAAATCAATTTTCTTCGCCGTTTGATTTGGTTCTGAACTTCACAGAGGCTTTTTCGTAATTAAGAAAAACCAAAAACAAAAAAAAAAAATCAAATTACATATCGCGCTGACGGCATTCGTACTGATGGAAACCAACAAATAACAGCCAGCACCTCTGCTCGTTGAGTCACTACCATAGATACGAATTTGTTCTTAAATGTTCAACTTGAATCACATTTCTTATTGACCATGAAAAAATCAAAGCATAACTTGGTTGAAAAAACCATTGTGCTTTTGGCTCAGTGTACGGTATCACTTACATACATAGTTACTAATACTGTAAAGTGTTGAAGTGTTTACTTTTGGGTTAAGAGTTGAATTGCTTTACATGAGATACTGTGTATTTGTTTGTTGCTGCTTTTATAATCGTTCAATAGTTGTCCTCAAGATAAACTAACGGCATGCCTTCATCCAACGTGCGAGAGAGGCACACTTAGACCCAGCGGTTACGTTGTGATACCAATTGAGAGCTCGAATTCGAACCCGTCCGTTCACCTAGAAGTAAAACCAGTTGGTTAGGTTCATAAAGCGCGAGAATTCGTGAATTCCTGCTTCACTTGGATCGGGGAGACAGACAAAAATGTGGTGGTGGAATGAGCGCTTCTCGCCCACATGAGGGCGGTTCTTCCGACCATCTTTTGTTTGCAATCTCAACGAAGTATGCCCTGAGTCATATTTTACAGGTTGATATGGGTATGCCCGCTGCAAGAGAGGAGTTGACGTCAGACAGCAAGCTCGTCCGTCGCACAAGTTCTTTGAACGTCCCTGTGGCCTGGCATCCACACGATGTGAGTAGTAGATTTTGAAGCTAGATCGTACGTTTCCTGCATTCTATCGCAGTTATAGATGAGCTCTTGCAGCAATGCCGAGACCTGATAGCCGCTTGGCTATCAAATTAAATAGAGACTGAAGGCAGATTAAGAGAAGATTCGATAAGCCAGAGTGCCGCCTTTTTTATAGTCACGAGTTTTGCTTGGAAGACACTGCAGTGGTCTGGTAGCCTAAAGCAGAGATCCAGTGAGAGGTCCTTCGAGTGTATCTCACTCCTTACTCTTAGATTTAGTTTGGAGCCATCCGTGTAGATGGCTGTGGAGTTATCTTGCAGGCCCAGACCGAGACGTCTTTTCAGTCCTTCCTCGAAGGGATACGAGTGGAGTTATTATCGAGCTCCATAGACATATACGTTAAAAGTGCCACAGCTAAAATTCCTTTACGACTCAGGGCGTCTAACAGGCTGCGAATAACTTGCACAGGTCACGCCACGATCCTCGAGAGAGTGGGGGTGGAGTACATAAGCTGTGACTATCAAGTCACGGAAACTGACTTCAATCGGAATTTCGATGTCCATTATCCAGACAGAAATGGCTGGGAACTTTGTATTGCACTTAGCGATGACGAAATATTCATTTTAACGGACGGCTCCAAAATGGATATCGGAACAGGATCAGGAGTCTTCTCTCATTAGTTATCTCTTAGAGAGTGTTATAGACTCCCGGATAACTATCCGTCCAGCACTCCCTTTGTGAGTGTCCAGCACTCCGAAGAAAACGTCTCAAGTTGCTTGGGGATCATTTCCTCGAGAGCCTGGATACCTTAGGGAAAGCTCTACTGGAAGGACTGTTAGGACCCGCCAGAGAATCGAAACGGATAGGCATGGGGAAACCCCCCTGGGCATCGCAATGGGCCTTTGTGGAACTCTTCTCAGAGCCGCCCACTTAACCTAACCTAAGCTACAACAACAACTGTTATCAATAAGTTCCTTTGCACTTAATTGCAGGCCTTTGAAGACCAACCTTTCTACAACTTCTATTTGGAACTCCTTATGATCCACGAGTGGGGGAAGGATGCCTGCAATCAAACATTACATTCGGGTGCTTTGGCACAGGTGTTACGACAGAGGCAACATTTCGATGTGATCATCATGGAGCAATTCAACAGCGATTGCATGGTGGCGGTGGCACATCAACTCAAGGCGCCATTCATAGCGTTGAGTAGGTGAGTAGAAATGCCGGCAATTTTTTTTTCTAAGCAAAAGCACAAATTGCATTTATTATAATTCACACATTACGATTTCTTCTGTTTTGCATTGTTTACACGATATTAGCTGCGCAATGTTGCCTTGGCACTACGATCGCATGGGCGTACCAATTATGCCAACGTCTATACCCGACAGCTTCATGGGACAATCGGGCTTTGGAACTCGCCTTCTCAACTGGCTCCTCTTCCATAGCGAGCGTTTACTTTATGGGTATGTGTAGCTAAAAATGTAGCTGGAACTACATATTTACTTGCAAATTGGGAGTCTTCTGTATTACTATTCCCTTCCCTAGCTTTATCACCACCTCAGATACGGATGCCATTATACGCCGAAAATTTGGTCATGACCTACCCTCCGTTGCTGAATTGGCTAAGCAAACTGCAGCGTACTTTGTGAATCAACACTTTTCAATGAGCGGCGTTATGCCACTGCCACCATCTGTCGTGGAGCTTAGCGGCGTACACATACAAAAGGCCAAGCCCCTGGATGCTGAGCTGCAAAAGTTTATCGACAATGCCGAGCATGGCGT